AAAATTTGCTGATTTACATAAAAAAAAGTAAGTCACCTAATGGGGAATTTCCCCTAGATAATCTTCTTTCATATCAATCGCTTTATAGTGAAGTTGACGTAGGGCAGTCGCTTATAGTAATGCGCCTATCACGAGCGCTGGCACCACCACTGACCTTATATTGCCGCCATCACTTTATTGGGTCGAAAACACTTTAGAGGCATTTTAGGGTGCCATTTGCGGGCATGCTCTTAACATGTTTGCGCCTGAGCTCAACCATAATGGAACTACAGGCCCGTAGGCATGATTTTCGATGGTGAGGTGCGTTTTGCAACCGAAGTGGACCTTACGATGGGCGACTGCCTAGGGATCCCCGCGAGGGTGGGGCGAATCTTCTGAAAGCTCTTACAAATTAGAATTTTGAGCGCCTTTTTTAATGGATTTCTAAAATCCGTAATTTGTAATATCCTATTTAAATTTTCATTTATTTGAGTATTGTCTAGGGACCTACAGTAAAGCAGGAGAAATAGATGGTGGGGTGAAGGGAGAAACTTGCACAGACAGATGGTCAATACCACCTCAGCCCCACCATGGTTGGGGCTGAGGTAAGAAAATTTATGATTATGGCACCTCAGACAACTTTAAATTATGATTTTTCTTTTTTCTCAATTTCTTTTATAATTTTAGGGGGGCTCTCCCCCTTGAATCCACTACTGTGAAACTGTAATTTTTCATGTCCTTTACATCTGTAGGCCTACAATCACTGGAACTAGCACATTATTAAAAATCAACGGGTAGAAGAGCGGGCAAAAAATGTAATGCATACTATAGCATTTCGCAATAATTAGGAGCGATTTTAGTGAAATAATAGGTTTTCAAAAGTGGACTTTTTGAAATTTGGTGGTCCAGGGGTAGAGGCCTTAGAGGGGGTTTGTGAGAAAAGCGACAAAGTAGCATTTTGAGGGTCTTACATAATAGCTTTCTCAAACACATAATTCATTAATATTTCATATAAATTCACTAATTTAGGTGTTTTTGGGACCTGAAAAAGTAACGTTATTATGTCCTGTACATCTGCAGGCCTATAGATAACATTCTTAATATTATATAGATCAATCTGCAATCACCGGAGACGGTCAATTTCTAACAAATTTCATACCACATTATTAAAAATCAACGGTTAGATAAGCTGGCAAATATATAATACAATGCATGCTATCGCAGTTGCCCTTCCTCACCCACTAACTGTTAAGATGAATCAGCGCCCTGGGCTTATGTAGGTCTACAAATATCATTCCACCAATTTTGCTTTTAAAAAAAAGAAGAAAGAAAACAAACAAAAAAAGTTTTACGTAAGTCTGAACAAAAGGAGTGGGCTGGAGAAGCCTTCGGCTCGCAGGCAGCCACTTAGACTGACTTATTGTATTGTAGGCCTATTTGTTGAAAATACGAAATAAAATGATATGATACTAAAACTGTGTGTTTTTAGATAAAATTTAACCGATTAGTCAATTTTAAAGTAGGCCTATGAGAATGCCATTTTCGGACATCTAGAGTGCATGCCATGTTCTTAAAATGGTGGGGCTGAGGTAGGTGTTGACTCAAACCATCTAAAATGTTCACACCCCAATAGTGCCAAATTTTATTACTTTTATGTAAATTGTTACTGGTTAGTTTTAGGATAGCTATGTTTTTAGTTTTCAATTTTTCATTTCGTTTAAGCGCTTCGAGACGATTTTTAATTGTGTAAGGTGTTATAATTCGATTTTCATTTCCCTAACGAAAAAGCTTGAATCTGCGTCTAAATTGCTTTACTGTATGGTGCGAAAAAGGTGGAGGTGCTTGCTTTCTAATCCCAGGGCCCTGAGTTCAATTTCTTTGGCAGCAAGATTTTTGTTCTCTCACGACTAAAAACAACTCCACTTCCTAAGCCTCATCATCAAAGAGACTTCATGTAAGTGGTGAGTATAATTGCTGTTGGTGGTGAGGAAATAAAAGAAATAAAAAAAAGTTGCTACGAGGCTAAATGTTTGTTGACAATAGAGTACTTTTTAAACGCTTTGCCACTACGCAAGCAGAGTTGTACCGTATGGTAGTGTTACCGGTACCGTACGTTTGTGTAACTCGTCTTAATTGCCCTTATAGAGTTTAAGCCAAGCTTAACGTAGGCCTACACCAAGTCGCGTCAGCCAACATAGTTTTTGTATGTTATGAATACATGTGTTTCACACTGAATATCGTATGCGTTGCGTTTCCTAAGTTAAGTTTACCTAAATTTTTAAAATTTTTAAAACAAGCATCAGCCATGCCAGCGCGATATTGAACACACACTCCAGCAGCTTCATGTTGCAAGACACGCAAAGATCAAACAATTCATTTTATTACTGATTTTAAATTATATGCCTAGGCCTATATTTGTATAATTAAAGTGATGATAGCAAACGAGACAAACGTTAAGTCAGCACTTAACAGCTGCCTAATGAATACCGTAATGTTTGTGTTTTTTACGACATCTTAGACGATTAAAATAAGTACCGGTACTCTTTTTACAAATATTCGCAAATAAGTGCATGTAAGAAGTATTTTTGTACAAGTGTTTATTGGATCAGATGTATACATCTATAGAAAATAAGTCAACTGAAGTTAAAATATCAAAGAAAATATTTGCAGAAGGAACAAAAAAAGCAACGATATAGATTTATATAAGATGACAAATCTGGAGAAACGGATTAGGCCTACAAAAGGCAAGACGCAAACCTAAATGAGTATTTAATTCTAAACTTCGGTGTGAACCATTAGACAGGCAAATACTAACACAAACGATAACAAAATACTCTCATAACTCCGCCTGACGCACCATAAAATAAACTTTTTTCACATAAAAGGAATATTAATAATGTTGACTAGACGCGGCTCTTGTGTTTGCGTTCTTTTTGCGGCTGCGTTTGAGGCAAAAATCATCCGCGTCTTGCGTTTGCTTTTGGAAGCGTGCTAAGTGTGAACCAAAGTTAAACAAAGATGAATTGCTTACAATATCAACATTTCCAACAAAAGCTGAATACATTTAGGTTCGTTGGTTAATGATGCCGTACTGAGGAAGCCTCTTTTTCTTAAAGACGTACTTATTGTGTTCTTTCAACCCCTATATACGAATCACATTACCATTCTCAATGAGATTTAATTTAGGTCATTTTAAATAAATGTATAATATAAAAACATATACTGATTAACTTGTAAATACAGGAGCACTCAGAAAGCCACTCACCGAAAGTCCATCATGGTAACCATGCCAACAAGTGTTTATTCATCCGCTTGTTATTTAATTATATTGACTTTATGCATCACTTTACCGGCTTATATATTTTACTCTTTATCCTCGGAATTTATAATTTAATTTTTAGCGTTGTAATATTCATTATACTATACAATAATATCGTTCATTTAGTTATGTTGTTTCCAGTGCCGATGTAGATAATTTAAAATTTAATATTGCAGGTATATTGTATTATGCAAAGGATAGGTTCACGTATCTCGGCATTACACACTTATATTTATTATGCATAGAGATATGTTTTAACATAGGCCTAGTTTAACTTCATTTCTGCAAAAGCAGAATAAAACGTGCATGCATAATTACAAGAATCCAGCAGAACGTTATGTATTTTAATCGAGGGCTTTTATCCCTCCCTACGACAACGATTATACCATTATACCGACAAACACCATTATGTGCATAAAACGTTAATGTTGTTTAGTCTGTAGTCCCGTGTCTTACAATAATAAGCCTCCACTGGCCACGTTTCCACATTGTGGCTGTAGTCCTACTCAAATCCATATTGACTATTTATACAGGCCGTCCTTAATCATTTTTGTAGAGAATCGCTGCAATTCCGTTTTAAACATAATGTCTGCAGCAGTTTTTTCAAGAATAAATGCGTGATTCCTAACAAATTTTCAGTTCTAAATACAAACATTAACTAGATATATATATATATATATAGGCCTAAGCCTATGTCATTTATATGTATATATCAAAAGTATAAATACTGTCTCTTATACACATCTCCTACTGGCGTTCTCTTTCCTGAGATTGCTTCCCGTTAATTTAAGTAAAGCAAACGACGACTGGGACGTGAACTGATTGTAAAATCACACACGGGTGACTCAATAAATGGCATGGTAATGCCCCTGTACTAGCCCCATACTAAGTTTCATCAACATGAACAACGGTCGGGTAAACATGTGATTTCGGCACAAATGGAATAACGATGTGTTTCATTGCGGATGGCAGCGGCGTTAGTTTAATTTATGTCGATATAGTTTGAAAAATTCATTTGCGTGTGAGAAGTCAATAAGACAGAGTCTGACAGATTATGGCAGCAGCTGAACTTTCGACCGCTCTTTCAATTATCTAACGCCATTATCTTAAACAATTTAACTATAACAACATTACTTAGTACAACTTATGAAAAACGCAGTGAGACGTAATCTAGATAAGCGATTCTTCCGAATTTCCACTCAGCCTAAGATATATCATCCTTGCTATAAGAATTCATAACTATATTGAAGCCATTCAATTAATAATTTATTAACATAACAGGGGTAATATGGTTTCACAGTGATATAGGATTATAGCATATTTTCGTGATCGCAGTTCCCTTGTTCTCACGGCCAGTAAGCGCGTGCATAAGTGATGAGTAGTAGGCCTACGAATTGTATCACATCAAAATGATTGAGAACTTGCATACGGGAAAAGAATGATGGATAAGAGCGCGAAGTGAATTATGACGTCAGATTATTAAGAGTGCCATTTTAAGGAAATCATTATCGGGATACCTTTTGTTATTAATCACATGAACAACGTTCAGCCAATAGCAACATTTTTTTTTGCATTACACACTGAAAATGAAAATATAATAAAATGCGTATGTGCAAGTAGCTAGCTCCCTCTTGCGGCGTCCATTCACCGATCTTTATAAACTGGCATCATTACAAGAAGATCCATTAATGTTTCCCGCCGATTAAAGAAGTGCAGACGATGCAAGGTTACTGGATGTAGATACACATTCGGCAATCATTCCTGATACTTAAAGCTTTTTGGTGGTACTCTTTGAAGATATCGTGTTCGAGTGCCCAGGGTGACCATTTTTTTTTCAGTTTGGTTGATTTTATGTAGATTTATCTACCTGTATTTCAGCATATAAAAGGTAGGTCTTCGTCACTTTTCGCAATTGAAAATTGTCAATTCAATCAATAAATCAACAATTCAAGTTGGTCTATGGGCATTATTCTGTTGATTTTGGTTGATTTGGCTTTTTGGTTTCAAATATAGCGCCTATAGGCTTATCTTTCCCCCATGCTTTTATCTTTATCATAACGGTGGTGGGAGGGGATACAAGAGTTGTTATATACTGTATTGTAGACGAGAATATATGCCTTAAACTATGACGCATCTGTGCTCTTTAATTTAAGCGTGGCATAAAATACGTCGTACGTCGGCAGACAAAATCCATCTCTGTAAAGTAAACGTTTGACGACGCGATTTCGTCTGCTGATTGTCGATAGCAGACTGAACGATACTTTACGCCACCTTGTTGCGTTGCATTCTCCGTGGAATCGCGCCGGCCGACGACGGTCGGGGCAGTGTGTGTATGCGCGTCCGGCTATACCGTCCAACCAATGTCAGTCGGTGGTCCTCAATTGCAGGTGAACGATTCAGATGCTTATTAGTGATTATTCCTGCCTCCAGTCTATTCTAATCTCATTCTGGGAATTTGTTTCCTTGGTTCAGTATAATTTTTTTTTTCTCACCACAAATCTTTTCTTTTACTTTCCTTTAGGCCTATATGGGTCTATAGACTATGTTGGCATATAACTGTTGAGCATTGTGTCCAATATTATTAAATTTATTATTATTAATATTAATATTGTTGTTCATTATTATTTTTATTATTATTAGTGATGAAGTACATGAGCCGCAGGTCTATAACGTATTATGAATAACATTTACATTTCATAAATTTAAAAGTACATAAAACCATAAAAGAAATGTATCCTCGGGTGTCTGCCAACAAGATTGCTTAAATGTAAATCAAATTATTAACAAATGTCTGTCCAAGGCCGATGACGAGAATCACTTCATAGAAACAGGATTATACCATGATTATATCAAACATAATATTATTGATTACTATATCTTATCCCTTAGTATAGAAGCGTTTAAATTTCATTTTCCGTGAGTTTTGTTATCTGTATCGTTTACTATTGAAAATAACCATATTAATTATAATAATAATATAATATAGATTATATATATATATATATATATATATATATATATAGGCCTAAGCCTATGTCATTTATATGTATATATCAAAAGTATAAATATACAAACATAGATTTATTAAATAAAAAAATATTTGTAACGTATATTGTATATAACATTATTATATATAATAGACACTATTATTATAGCACTACTTCATATTTACAAATCAAAAACGCAGGCTAGGACAGCGCACCAATGGTATAGGTCGGTGTCGTACCAGAGAGATCTCAATACAATGGGGTGCGCGCGATGACGGCGATCCCTGCCACCGACACTGGACTGGACGTGCGTCGGGAAGCGCTCATACGGAACGCGGACGGATTCGTCGCCAACCATTGGTCAACAGTTGAAGTATCAGCCTAAGACAGACTAATAGACTTAAGAAATAAAATCCAATACCTTAATTTCCATACTATATTTGAGTAGTAGCTAATAAATGAAAATTCAAGAAAATGTTTTCTACAAAAAAAAAATGAAAGATGCATAATAACATTCTTATATTTCTTGCATAGACCCTTTAGGGAAGCTGTATAATGGTTTTCGTAGTGAAAATGTGTAAATATGCAAACAATGAATAATTTCGATTTATATCTCATTGCAAGTTTTGAAAACTTATTTGATCTTTATAAATATTTATCACATACAGTATTTTAAGCTACAATATTATAGAAAATCATCCATTAGAGATTATAGCTCTTAAATAACAAGCTACAAAATTATTGTTTTGCCGTCCTTCAGTGACGTAGGTGGAGGCGGTTTAGTATATTCGACCATTGGACTGAAATAAGAAAGTTAACATGGATTATTGGATTGGGTATTTTTGGCATATGCATTGTTGCCAGTGGTCATTGACGTTGCTCATTTTTAAGCTGTTTGCCGGAAGATTTTACTTGACATGTTGGTGGACATTGACAATTATAGTGGGATTTTTTGAATGTTGCTTAACTATATTGTTTATCCTCGTGATTTCGTTATTAGTAGGCCTATATTTGCACTGTATTATATTCTACTTTAGGTTTTGTTTAAAGCGTTTAAACATGAGTTTTTATTGAACTAATCAAGCTATTCTTAAATTATCTCACAAACTGGTCTCGCTCAAATAGCTTTTTGCTTTTACGATCAGAATCTTAACCCAATTGATACTAAGGATGGTCTCAAACCTACAATTTATGTAGGCCTTTGATTATAAGCATCAAGTGCTCAGATTATGCAGGATCTTTAAATGATTGGTATTTGATTGTATGTTTATTTTGCTTATTAGCATATTATAATATATAAACTATGAGAGAATAATCCCAATGCATGCTATATATAGACCTAATTTCTTTCCAATACGATTTGTTTTGGGCTACATAAACGGGACGTGCGTCTGTAATAACGCGAAAACGATGGAAATTAGCTGTTTTTTACGGGTTTTTTGGGGCTCTAAAATTTCTCATAGTTCTCATTTCTCATAGTGCGTTTTTTTTTGTTTTTGTTTTTTTTTTGTGTATAATTGAACATTCTAAGATAGGCCTATTTGAGAGCTGGTTGACTTTTTTTTTGTATAATTGAACATTCTAAGATATTTGAGAGCTGGTTGACAAAAACAAATTTGGAAGAGCTAATAAGATAGAATGTTCATTTGTACAAAATTAAAATGTCTTAAAATAGAAAAAATAAAGTGTCTTAAAATTGGGCTAAAAAATTGAATACCAAGACGCGATTCAAACTCACGACCTTTGGTTCCTTAAGCCGGGCACTCATTGCGTCGTACGACCGTCGGCCGACGAATACAACTCCGATCCCCGTAGGCGCTAGACAATGCGACGCCGTCTGCTGATTGTCAGTGGCAATCTGAACGGATCGTCATTAAAAAAAATCCGTTGCACGTGCGTCGTGGCGTTGCGTTCTCCACAGAATTGCGTCGACCGACAACCGCAGTGGGTGCCCGTCTTTTGAACACATCGTTAACCTACCCCACTATCCATACGCCACATGTCTTATTAATGGTAATGGCAGTGATGTACGAACATCTGGTAGGCATCTTGTAGGGACATGTTCCCTTTTTCGCCTACCAGACTCATTACGTTTTGAGTGAAATAAAATTACGAATTATAAGAACATGGCCCTTTGTTTTTTTAAAGTTAGACCCCAAGATGCACGCTTTTAAAGTTCTGGCAACAGCAACACAATGATTACACCCAATTATTGGTATCACATTATTTCAATATTTAAAATATGACTGTATGGACCATGTGTTGGCAGACCTTTAAATAGCCTATATTACAAGATACAAGATAAACTTTATTGTCAAATGTGTAATTCCGAGATTAGTCAGGCTGTTCCAAAGCGTCCCACTCCTGTTTCAAAGTACTGAGATTGAGATACTCAATTATATTTTTAAAGATTTCGTTTTTGTGTTTGTTTTTGGTTTTGTTTTGGTTTTTTTTTTCCTAATTAAAATGACATTTTCCCTCTCCATTGTTTTCTTTGCAGGTGGTCCTCGATGTTAACAAACATGAATACAGAGACACCGTATACCACTTTCACGGATGATTCTTTTTCGAACATTTCGACGACATTGCCGCCGTTCTCTCCTGTGCCGGAGTTTTTACACGTGATACAAAAGATTATATGCGCATTCTCCTTTATAGCCAACATATTATTGATCATCGTCGTCCTTAACTACCGCAAGCCGCATACAACAGCCAACCTTTTGATCGTCAATGTAGCCATTGCTCACATTTTGTTAATAGTGGTTCGTCTACCTGTCATCTTGTAAGATATATACCTTCATTTTTTAATTTCTCACATTTTCTTACTTCAAAGTCGATCTCTTAAGAAGCATTTGAGATCGCATGTTTGGATATCATCTAAATTGTTCATCAGACGATTTATAAAAATACTTTTGCAATCACAGGAATAATTTGTTTTTCCTTTATTATGGCATCCATCTAATTTAATAAAATTTCAACATCAAAAATACAAGTTAGCAGCATTTATTAAAATTGAAATGTAAAATTAAATTGCCTAAAAATATAACGAATGGATGCAAAGACGAAGTATATTAGCACAAGTTAATTTATTTCAATGGGGGTCCTTGCAAGGAACTAAGGGGTGAATATTAAAACAGTCAGTTAAAATATAGAAAATAATGCTAAATGATGTTGATATTTTAACAAGCATGGCAGATCAGTGCAGGCTCATCTAAATGATCACATGAATGGGAGTGGGTACCACCGCTGGTGGGTGCAGGTTAACGTGCAAAACCCTTAAATCTTGCCGGGCACTCACAGCGTCGCACGACCAATCCAACTCCGCTCCCTGTGAACGCTAAATGACATAACGCCGTCTACTAATTGTCGGTGTAGTTAGGTGGTAGCAAAGAGTATAAAACTGCAAAGAGGTCCGACTGCCCTGATTTTGTATGCAGGCAATGGAACGTTAAAAAAAAGTGCTAACACGAGATAGGGGGCGCCCCATCAGAATTTGAATAGAGTTCGAAACTTGAACATGATGCAGCACACGGTTCGATCCTTCGTAGCAGTACTTTTTGAAATAGGATTGCGTTCCAACGAAACTACGACAGTCGGACCTCTACACATAATTAAGTTTTATTTAGATCGTAAAATGATGTGTTGCAATTTTGTCCAATGGATACGTATTTCTGGTAGTCTACTATTGATTATCGTGCGTCAGATTGCGCAGTAATACCGGCCTGTTTTCCACTAGGCGAATTTTCGCGCGAGTCAAATCTTCGGTACGATTTCTGATCTCTGATTGGTTGCGCATTTTTTCGCTTCGCAAAATCGACTTTGAGATTCCAACAAAATCTATTTTGCCCTTTTCAAGACTTAAATCCAGTCACAGGTCTATTTATTCACGGACCAATAATATCTAAAATGTGACTAGTAATGACGTCAGTAATCGTCGGATTCCGAATTTTCAAAATTTAAGTGATTGAGCTACCAATATGCTCATGTTGGTACCAAATGCATGCATATTTGTTTACAAAAGTTATGAACGCAAGAGTTACCCCCACCCCAAAATTTGCATGTAATATAAATCACTAACAATCATCATAAAATGACTCAGTACCTGCAATGCATCCCAAAGTTCATGTAAACATCGATTTGATTTTCTCATTCTATATGACTTGGGAACAAAAAAATATCAAGGAAGTTTAACTGTGGACTTTGGAGGGTGAGTGGGGGGGGGGGCAGTGCACGGTGACCCCTGCTAACCCATGGACTATATGTTTTTTTTAATTTACATCGAGAAAGTACGTATTCCTACTCAAATATCAAATTTAATATGATAATTATAAACCTATATTAGTATGGTACTTATCGTATAGTTGTTTACCATAAAGCTTCCTGGTTAATTATTCGATTTGTTCATTAGTTCTATTAGTTATTAATTCTATATTAGGAATAGCCATTACATGACATGTTATTTACTAATGGAATATAGATGTGATATACAGGAGTCATAATATGGGCTAATGAGGTTAATATAATATCTAAATTATAAAACTATTATAATACTATTAAGTCAGACACGCACTGCGTCTTACGGCAGTCGCGATGCCGTCTGCTGAACGGATTTATTATCATTATCATTTAAAACAATCCGTTGCGTTGCGGTTTTTTTTTTTTTATATATATATATATAGAATCGCGTCGGCCATCGGGCTCAGTGAGTACCTGGCTTTAAATTTCATGCATGTTTAAAAATCAGGTGAAAAAGTTAATGCTGCAAACTACTTTGAAACACCACTATGGTGAGAAAAAAAACAATAGGCCTGCATTTGTAGTAAACTTAAAAGCTTATAACTTTAAAATGTACACGTGCGCAATTCTAATTAAAAATATTGAACGCATTGGCAATACTTATTGTCTTAAAGCCGAGCACTCACTGCGTCTTGCGACGGTCGGCCGACGAATCAAACTCCGATGCCTGTGAGCACTAGACGACGCAGTCTAATCTTTAAAACGATCCGTTGCGTCAGCGTCGTGGCCTTGCGCATGGAATCGCGTCGACCGACAACCGTCGGGCGCAGTGAGTGTCTT